TCTGTGGAGGCCGACCTGTCAGCATAACTGCGGCAGGAGGTTACAAAGCTTGCGCCGCTGCTTGGGTACTTAAAACAGGGAGTTGTGGGGGGATTTCTTGCTCATCATACATGTGGGAGCAGGATGTGCCAGCGACACCGAGGCCCTGAGGCGATAACAGGTGGCTGTGGAGACTCGAGGGCTGTGCTGTTTCTCCCCAGAGCTCCTCTGTAACCGGCACATCCACAACAGATGCTCTGCATCTGAGAGCTGCGCTTCTAGTGTTATTCTTGCATGCTACTATATGACAGTGTTTTGAATGTCAAAACAGAGGCCGTCAAGTCACTTTGATTGATATAGTGGCTTTACAATACAGATTGTTAGCTTATGAACAGGAAAATAACAATCAATGATACAAACAACAAACCTGAGACATTTCAATTTTACTGTAAAGCAGCTCTAAAAAGACAATAATGTCATTATTCAGCTCAGTTAAATAACTGTATATACTGTATATAACTGCAATAGTCTTAACTTCCCAATTGACGTGAATCCAAGTGAAATGGCTTCTTGAACGAGAAAAATTGTAGGGTGGGACTCGGGATTCTGTTCACCGGGAATTGATTGGATCATTGTTGTTTGCTATTGCTGTGATCACACACGAGTCGGGTAGTCCCACCTGTAGGTCTTCACGGGTCCACTTGGATCCGGAAACACAAGGTCTAACCCAAGACCCGAGCGGGTCCAGTCCAAATCTTCGACAAGTGCCTCAGGCACAGGTCGGGTTCAGTAGTAGTGACCTCGGGTCTCGGGCAATTTCAATTACCCAGAGAAGACCCAAATTCTTTTAAACAATTTGGGGGCATTTAACAAAATGTTATTATTTAAAATAATTCTATGACAATGTTATAATCTCACTTTTTCTAAGTTCTCTCTGTATAAATCATTTGTTTTGTTTTAAATGATTTTAAACAGAATAAATGAGGTGGTAACTGCTAATTACAGTTGCTTTGGCAATTATATTACCACTAAATTATTTATTAAACCTATGGTATAATAATTTTGTTTCTGTGAACAGTACTATGTAGTGTATTATGTTATTCCTAAATGTTTGTGTTGTTGTGCTGTCTCAGTGTTGTATAACATCTTATTTTGGAGCTGTGTTTTCTGTTGTATCTAATGATGATGTTAAGATTGGTTTCTTGCTGTTGTTATTTGTTTAATCCTGCTGTCCTACCCTGTCTTGACTAGGTCTCGCTTGTAAAAGAGGTTAACCTCAATGTGACTTTCCTAGTTAAAGGTTCCATTCGACATGCTTTGATTGTGTTTATAGTGTGCAATATAACATGTGTTCATGTTTCGCGTATAAAAAAAAACAGTATTTCACACAATTTACTTATCTATACGACTGTTGTCACCGTCCAAAAAAAACGGGCCGATGACTTCCTTGTTCAATGAAGTCCCTCCTTCAGAAAAACGTAACGAGTTCTGATTGCGCCAGCGGTTCCTGTGTTGTGATTCGACAGCAACTTATCGCACGATGCCCGGAAAGGTCACGCCTCTTACCATAAATTGGAGAAGCATCCACATCTGAAGTGCTCTTTCTCCATGGGAGCGCAACAAGACCACGCCCCCTTTTTTGTGTATTCCTCTGGGCGGAGATTATTCAAAAAACTGTTCTAGTTACGTCATTAAAAAAGGAAGTAGAGGGATGTAGTTCAAACAGGCCGTTCGCTGTATGCTTTGAAAGGGGACTTCTGTCAAATACTTTGAGCTTTATAATTTTACAGGTATTATTTATGCTCTAACAGCAACATTACACACTAAAGTTTGAAACATGGAATCGCGAAGAACGGGACCTTTAAATAAAGGTTAATAATAATAAATAGGTCTAAGGTAAATGAAAGTAATGGAGCAGGGGCGAAATCAGTCAGCAGGACACTGGTATTTTTCCTGACTGACTGCAGGGCGGTGGACACGTCAATGCTACGGGTCAACGTTCGAGTACAGTCGGGTTCGAAAATAGATGCCGCCGGGTCATACTCTTGGTTTTTCTTTACATTTTTTATGTATTTATGTACGACGGGTTCGGGTAAGAAGTGATTCGGGTCGGGTACAGATTTTAGGACCCGAGATCCCCTCTAGACCTGCCCTTACACCGAAAAACACGTCATCAGAGAAAATATATGTCATTGCAAGAGGGTCGGGAAGTTTTTTTGATTGAAGAATACAAATGCACATGAATTTTAATAAAAAGAATAATGTTCATAGATAAATCATTTATAATAAACACTGCAATATTCCATAAAAAGATAAATGTGATTTCATGGTGACTTTAAACCCTAACCCAACTAGGCAAGCCAAATGCCACAGTAGCACAGAACCCAAACTCCATCAGGTTTCTTGAGAGAAACCAGCCTCAGTCAGAGGGCTAGATCTCTTCAGATCAAATGAAGGAACAAGGTATGATTACTGAATCCATGCTGCATCACAAATCAGACAGGAGGATTGATACGTTTCAAACATTAGGTGGAAATGCAATAGTTGTAATCTGTCCAGCAGGTCAAAACGAAGGACATCAAAGAAGAATGATGGCTTTTTTTAATAGATCCCTACCCGGTCCAATCCTGTCCCTTCCCTGGTTGACCTTGCACCCATTCTCTCCCTCTCTCTGTGTTGATCTCCTCAGACAGCATAAGTGCACATATATTATTGGCCTACGCGACGACTACGCCTGTCAAACGTGACCCCACCCTCTTTCCTTTCTTTCATCCCTTCTAAATCTCTCCAGCTCGTCCATCCATCTGTGCCCACAGCTCAATTAAAGCCTCTGCCTCCGAGGAGAAGATTTTGCAGCAGCAGATCATATTTTTCTGTGCACACAGACTGATGGTATGGCACAGTAAAAGCAAGATCACCTACAGTATGATGGATGTGGAGCAGAGAATGGATATCACTCCACACTCTCATGGCCTAAGCAGCTGTTTGCAGTCTACAGACACCTTGTCGATAATCAATTCCGAGTGATTTATCATAGAAAGACTCAAGTCATTGTCTCTCAGCGACAGGCAAGCAGTCAAAATTCCTTTGCAGGGAGATAAACTGAGGATGACCCACAGTAAGTAGCTCTACCGAAATAAAATGGTATTATTATCATTCTTTGAAGAACCTTGAAATATCATATAAATACAATGGTTTCATTACACCAATAGCAGCTCTACATTTGATAAAACTGACATGGTAATTGTTTTTTTTTTGAATATCATATCATATATATTACAAATTATAATATAAAATAAAATCCCTCAACTAGTACTGGCAAAATAAATAAATATTTAATAAATAATAAATACAACGGTTTTGAATATGGTCATCATTATTCCATAAGCAGCACAGGAATAGAATATGTAATATAATATGCAATGTAATATGACATAATATATATATAAACTTTCTTTGCATGGGTAAAGGAAAATGTTTAATTATATCTTTGAAATACATAAATACCATGGTTTTGAATATGGTAATCATTGTACCATGGTGAAATCATATTCCATGCTATCAGGTTATTATTTTACCTAACATGTAATTACTATGTTTTATGAATCTTGCAAACCTTGTACTTCCACAGTACTTTTTACAGAATGATAAATTAAATATTTTACAACAATATCATGATATTATGACAGTACTTTTTAAGTACCTTAAAATGACATGTAAATAACATGGTTTATGAATATAATAAATCACTGTAAGACTATAAACAGCAGTACTTTTGAACATAATTTTATAGCAATATCATAGCAATAGGCCTATAATATAAATATAATCACTGTACTATGGCAGTATCAAAGTACTTTTGTTGTATAAGAGTAAAATTCAATGTGGTATTCTTTAAAGTACATGAATACCATGAATATAATGAGTGTATACTAATATACTATGCATGTAAACAATAAATCATTTCCCCAAGCATGAAGGAGAAATCGGTTTAATTTAATGATATGAGTTTATGTAGAGCAGTATGCCATAAACTTTGCTAACAGAGTAAATAATTTGCAACCTGAGCGCTGTGAGCGAGACCCACCCTGAATCAAACATGCTGGTGTGCTGCCAGGTGAGGGTGTCTGCGTTTAGAAGACGGAAAAGAAATGCAGGCCCCACCCAATGCTCTTGCTCACATATATTTGCTATTGTCGCCTGGGCCATCAAATCATCACACACACACCACTGCGGACCACCAATACTCTCAAAACCACAATGCTCTCATGGGTGATTAACACAATTATAACAAAACGCCGGGGGAGGGAGGACTAACCTTATAGATAATGCATGAATTATTAACAATGATACACTGAGATACTTATAAAACATGCATTTAAAGCCGAAACATCAACAAGCCAACTATTGATGCCATTGAAGTAAATCTCATTAAATACAACAAATGTTTGCATAACATCTAGGTGAATATAAGACTGCAAAGCGCAACCAGACCAACACATGCTGCAAGACGGACACAAACATGCAAAGAACGGGTGCACAGTCCCGCATTAAAAACAGAAGAGCCTGTTGCTGGTAACGCATGGGATGTTTGCGAATCCACCAGAGAACTGTTTCTGTTTATGACAGGGCAACTCAAGGAGAGACAATTTGACATTACAAAAATAAATGATATATATTTATATAAATAATATACATCAAAACACAGTTAGCTCCTTCGACACACTGAAATCTTAAAGAATTATTATTCTATTTTTTCATACTTAAAGGCCTAAATGTAACACTAGATATGACTAAAACATACATAAACGACTACTGCATTGCATTTATCTCAAATGAAATAGCCCCAGTTTGCTAGACCACACACACCAAACCCACTTGCTACATCATAAAGCACCTTAAATCTCTAAGGTGTGATCAATTAACCACAAGAAAAATCTGCAAAAACAAGCCAATTCTGTTTGACATCCATCAGACACTAAATACTATTGATATTCTCGCTTACACCCCTCTCCTCTTACCTCTGCAGCTTCGAAACCGCTTCAGGTTTCCGTCCTCCTCTGGCAACTCTGTTGTTTTATCTGTCCCTCAAGGTTCTTGTGTCTCCTGCTCTGTCAGATTGATTGTGGCCTCTGTTCACTGCTGATGCTGCAGTGCGAGGAAAACACACCCTCTCCTGGCTCCCTCGCTGCCTCTCCCCTCCTCTGATTGGCTGCCATCAAGAGGCAGTGACATCACCCTTTTTCCTTCACTCTCTTCTCTCCTCTCTTCATTCTCTGACCATTCCTTTATTGTCTTCATCCTGATTTCCCCCTCTGCATTCCCCTGGTGCCAAACGAAACCTGTCCATAATTTCATCCGTGATTGGCAGGATCTGTCAGAACAGGAGGAGAAATTCAGTCAGGCAGAGGAGTGATGACATGTTAAATGCAGAGAAGTGTTCTACGGCACCATTACAGGCTTCTTGCTGATTGTTTGGTGGGCGTGTGTATTAAGGATGGGAAATATATGTTATGCTAATTAGTGCATTGTTATGCAGCATTTGTATGGTGGCACGGGAAGAGCTTTTCATCTCTCCCTCCAATATAGTGCCAGATGAAATACAGAAAGAGATGATCCAGGAATTTGGCAATACATTTATTTATGAATAATGCAAATTAACCACCAAAAAATAACTTTATAATAGCACTGTTATTGTCTACTATACATTTTATATATATATATATATATATATATATATATATATACACACACATACCTATATATACACATATATACAAACACACACACATATATATATATATGTATATGTCAAATATTTATATTTATACATAATATCAATTATGTATAAATACATATAAAGTATATACATGCATGTGTGTGTATTTATATATACAAAATAATTATACACACTACGCACACGTATATTACGTAAACATAATCTTTTATTTCGGATGCAATTAATCGTTGCCCAGCCCTAGACTATTTTAAAATATCTTTGTGAATGAAACTGCTTCTGGGAAATTAAAAGAAAACTCTGTTAAGCTACTCCTGAGCTGACTAAAGGAGCCCTTTACTCAAACTATCACACGGCTGAATGACAAATGAATCACGCACAATTTGGTTCATGAGGAAGGGAGCCTCGCTGCAATGCAAATGGCAGATTTTTTTCCACAGATTTTGTTGGCAACAAGGTAAAAATAAACAACTATCATAAACTCCCATCACTCTATCTACACAATCTCCCTGCAAGCACACTGCAGGTTGACGTTGTGTATACAGTAAAGGTCAGTGCTTGCGAGTGTGCAAGAATAAGTCTACAAAGAGCCGATCTCTTTGTTATGTGACATTATCTGGCTTTGTGTGGAGTGCTACGCTTACAGAAAGAGCTATTCCTGCAGGTGTCTCATGCCATACACATGCTGAAAAACACCAGTCGCTGTCCTTTAACCGGAAAGTAATGCCCAGCCTTCTGTTAAAGGACCTCAATTTGTGACAGGTCCATGAGCACATCCTGAATCAGGCAGGACAAATGAAGCCTGACGGTTCATCTTCAAAACCTCACACAGGGAGTTGCCAGTTTGCATTAATGCCATCAAATGCAATGACAAAAGCTCATGCAAAACAGCCACTTTGAATAAGTATGATTTGCAAGGGCTACAAATAGGCTGTCAACCACCAAAAACCAAATTACAGCATTATGATCAAAGGACGATTTTATGGGAATTTTTGTATCAAACAGCTGGGCTCTTTTCTAAAATAGCGATACTCTACAGGTAGAATCAAAGAGGAAGAATAATGAACTGAAAATTAAAACGTATGATATTGCATCTGATTAACTTCTATTCCACTGTCCTCGCCTACCATTTACTGATTAATATATATAAATATCAAATATATGCACACACAGGAATTACAATAGTTGCAGAGCCATTAAATATCTGTTTATGTACGTTTTATATATATGTATAAATATATCTAAATAAATATATTTATATTTATATATATATATATATATATAAATAAATATATTATATATATATATATATATATATATATATTCACACATATATACATATATATATATATACACACATTAGTAAACACGCATATAAAATAAAAAAAAATGTGCATGTAAACACAGTCAATGGCTGCATTGCACACACACACACATTCACACAAAAAAGCCTGATATTTTCTTCTTTTCCAGGCATTCCTTTAGCCATAATTGTAATAATACAGTGAGATTTTTATGGGGTTTTTTTTTATTAACGGTTAATTTTACTCCGATTCATGTAAATAATAAAATCAAGAGAAACTTCTAATTCTGCAGTGTTTTTTTTTCCAGAGAGGTATAAATGTGAGTGCTTTATTTATAAAAATCTAAAACATAATAAAATACATAACTGCATATAAAATATAGAAATATATAACAATTGGCAAATGACAGCAAAACTTTGCATGACATTGCTTTTGACGTTTAAGTAATCTGGAATTTTGTTCTGTCAATAATTCATGAGTTGGAGAGAAGCCACAAGCTGAGCTCTGCCTCCATCATTACCCTTCAATTACCCAGTGATTAACACCAGGTCAGACCATCAGAATGACCTCACATCCACTTAATGAATTCAATTAATCTATCAACTGACCAAGTACAGCCGCAAAATAACCAAGCTAAAAGCAATGACCCCAAGAGTGGTTCCATGTTGTAACATGCATTTATATGCAAGCTCTTTGGCCGGAAAGGTCAAGGTAATGGTTATTAATACCATCTGCATTATGTTCAATATCTACTAAAGACCACTATCCACTGTGTAACAGACTGATCTCTTGATTAATTCAGTCTTTCGGTCACAAACAGAGACAAAACAGCATGTTTGTTTCATTCCGTTTCGAAGAAACACTCCTAGGGATCTAAAGTGGGACAAGCTATGACGTTAAACTCTCTCTCTCTCGAGGTCTCTGGTTATTGTGCACCAGGCCAGCATAAGAAACATCCGCTGAAAATGAGTGAGAGAGATGAAGATAAAGGGAAACAGAGAGCAGAGATGAAGACAGGAAGGAGGATGCCACTGCTTGATTTATAATAGCACTGATAGAATGCAGTCTGTTCATAAGTTAATTTGACTATGAGGTCATGCGAGCTGCAGTGGTGTCTGAGCTTCTGAAAGAGGTTTTTCTCAGCCTGTGATCTGAGCAGACTCCCAATCCATTTCCAGACTGATAGAGCAAGTGAAGCAGAAGAACAAAGGTGGGAAAACAAGTGTGACGGATAATGACACTAAAAAAGCAACCATTAACTCAATCATTAAATTTCAAAGGACCCTCTTCATATTATCTTCACAGAACTGAAAGACCTAAAAATCATGCACCCAAAAGTATCAGCACGTTTATTTAAATTTCAGTACCTCCAAACCGTTTCCCATAAACACAATCACTGATAATGTCATTATAGAAGCATAATGTCCTAAAACGAATTGCAACGTGCTCTGCAAACAATACGAGTTGCTAGACCATACAATAAGCTTTTCACAGCTTCATATCATAGCATAAAATGGGACGGTCTGCACAGGAAATGATCACTAGCACCGCTCAAGGTTAAAATATAGCCCACATACCCGTTTAGGAGCATGAAGTTAATTGCCTTTCAGTCAGCCTGAAAAATGAAGCAGTCCATTTATTTCCTTATTTCTCCAGGAGAGTCGATAGTCGAGCTGATTTACGCAGTGTACCACACTAAAAGTGCTCTGGCTTTGTTTCAAAAAACACACTTCATTACCGAACTGGCTTTATGCCTTGCACTGGCCATTTTTCCAAATTTGATTCAGTAAATTTTTGATAATAAACTATGACAACTGAGAAAACCGTAAGAACAACTTTGTTTAGGATACAAAATGCTTTCTTCACTCCATTTGCATTATTGATAACTATTGATTGGTTTATTGATGTGCTCAAACAAAAACCAAGGCACTTACATGCTGAAAAGGCAGTTTAATCAAACAATGCACTCAGGTCACCCTAATGGATAAATATTTACCTGAAAGAATTATTAGAGATGAATATACTGCATACATTTATTAACAAGATCACTGTACTCCCTCTGCTGGCCAACCTGAAAAGCAGAATATAAAGTCATAACTGATGTCTTGAAAGTCAAATTTCTCTAAACGAGAAACATAAAGGTAGCATAATTATTTTGTCCAACCTGAAATCCTTCTGGTTACACTATTTTAAGGTGTCTTTGTTATAGTGTAAATATACATTTGAGTACTGACTAATATTAATGTACTCATAGGGTTAGGAATAAATTAAAGGGTTTAGGGTTAGACATGTAATTATGCATAATTTACCATTATCGCTACAGTAAGTACATGTAACAAGGAAACTAAAACAGTGTTACCCCTCTTTTTACAGAAAATCACATTGCATAAAGCTTTAATGAGAATTAATCCAAGAGCACGATGCAAAAGGAAGTTACTTGCAGGTGCATCATTTCCATCACCATTAGTGCTGGAAATTAGACCTAGGAGTGAGACGAAAATAAATAAAATAAAATAAACTTTCATCTTTTTAGACTGCATGGACATTCTGATGGTTTAAAATGTAATAAACAAAAGGATACATCTGAAAGACAAGCAATGATCACGGCTCCAACATCCTCTCTCACCTTTGATATCGCACTTTATGTTGAGAGGCGTCAGTCTAGACAAGTGGACTCCTGCTGTGTGGGGCGAGCAGGCGTGATGAACTGTATCCTAACAGCATGGACATTACTGGAAGCTCCAGATGGTCTGAGACCCATTACACTTCACACCAGCTCCCATGCAAAAAGAGTTGAAGAGGGCAAGAACAAAGGCTAAAAAGCCTGTCCTGAAATGCCAGTAAAGAAAAACCCAAAGTAATAAATGTGAGATTCATGCAGGTGATCAATAACTGGACAGAATTCCTCATACATAACTCAGGATGAAGAATAGAGCTTTTAATACTTGGACCCCACAGCATGTGTCAAGTTAGTTTTCATGGACCTCCTCCATCAGTATATTTCTTAACATATAAATGATATTTGCTCCTGTTAGTGCAAATGTGTAAGGCATACATTGAAACAACTCTAGAGGACACAGTGGGCTCATTTTATGCATTTATTTATGT